AGGATTCTCAAAATATGAATCATCTGGATTGCTGATTTAAAAAATAATGTTAGATCTAGGAATTGATATTCTGTACATACATATGTGTGAATGCACATGCTCTTCTCTGTGCATGAGAGCAAGCCTAGTCCTTTGTAAGGTCATGCGAGTGAGTGGAGACTACAGTGATATTTGTGGAGAGAGCCACTAATACTTCCCAGAGGATTTGGAATGTTACGAAGGGTTTGTTCAAACTCTGCCATGCAGAATTTTCAAACAGTGGTTGGAAAATAGCTGTTCCCATCATAAAGAAGTGTCTCTGGGTCTCTTCTAATTGTCTCATCTCTTGTAATTGTGCCTTGATCAACTGTCCATACTGCATTAACTACACAAATGTGCCCTGGTTAAATGGTGACCTCTGCATCAACAGTTCTGCCTAGTACCACAGGGAGAACACAAATAGGATAAAACTGGGAGCTCCAATTCCAACAAATCTCCAATGATTATTCTCTGCAGAAGCATTTAAATTAGAATTTGGTTCCATTTAACTCAGCATTCTACTTGTAGATTAAGAAATTTCCCTTCAGGGAGGACGGCAGGCTAAGTGGTATGAACCCACTTCAATTAATTGCACCTTATGAAATCTTTGTTGCAATCCAGACTACCGTCAGCTTCTGGGATTGGCTAGTATTGACTGAGACCTCACACCCCATTCAAATTCATCGAAGTACCCATGTTTATCTTTACTGTATTCCTTGGTCCACGACTTATCCTCTGATGTAATTTTAGAAGCAAAGTTAAGAAAGGCTCTAGGAACTTAGGAAGAATTGATGCAAGTGAAAAAAAATTATATATTTTATTCTCCCCTCTCTTGCTCTCTGACTTTCTCTTTTTCTGATCAGAATGAGACGAATTGACCCAAAGAAGTAAAACTGAGTTCCCTGCAGTGACATCCCTTCAAGTACTAGTTGAACTACTAACTCTCTTTTTTGATTGAAAAAGATTGTATTGGGTAAAAATCTGATCTGGGGAATAAACAAGTGGAAGGAAAGCCCCAAATCTTTTTTTTTTTTTTTTTTTTGAGTGTTTAAGTGAGGCTGGAGAGAGCTGAGAGCCTTGAGAAGCATAAAACACCTTCGTAGAATAGCTTGAACTGGCATCACTTCTATTTCAGGGTTTAAATAAAAAATTTTTGTATCAAACATACAGAAAATCATCTTCCAATGCCTTATTCAGTGGTCACAGAGGAGGCACTCGTTAAATGTGTGAAGATCCAAGAACTAAATCAATAGTCAATAACATTTCATTATACTGTGTGATGTGACATTCTGAACTTCTGAAAGGCAAAGCAATGCTTGAACTCTTTGGCTCCTAGGGACTTTTTGTAGCTCTCATCTCCAAATTTGAACTTATGGCTTGGAGACTTAAGCAAAAGGAAAAAAACATATATTCATATGAAAATTCTAGATTCATTCAGTCATTATAGACAGGCATATACTGGTGGATAGCAATAAATGAAAGAAGTCTGTTGTCTCACCACAGCTGGGATCTACCCCTGAGTTTTGTATTTATTGCAAGATATGGAGGGGGCATCCACTCCTAGGTTAGGAATGAAGAGTGTGAACTTCCTTTTCACACATTTAATATTACTGATTTGACTGGAGGGCACAGAAAATGGGTGTCATGAGTGTGCACTGAGGAACCACTTTTCCTGAAAATAACTCCACATTGTCCTGATATAGCTATTCCCTGATATCTGCATCATCATGTTCACTTTCTACAGAATTTATGGACCTGGTCATCTCAGCTACTTTTATGTCGAGTAGGACAATCAGATAGGTGAGAAAAGGATGTCACTTTACTTGCCTTGAATCCACTGAAATCTCTCAGACCTGTAATTCAGGCTCATGAAAAAGGCAGTCACTGTCATTGTTGAGGCCTCCTCTGTGCCCCAGATTCATAAAAAGTTTACTTGCTTTATGGAGACAGCACCAAATCATCAGAAGGAATCATCTCCTGGCAGATTTTAGGTCCACACTGTTTAATTAGGGAAGCCCAATGTGTTAGACTACCTAATTCTTTCAGGTAAAACATCTTGGCTCGTGTGGGACTGGCCCGGAGCCTGAGCTGAGTGTTATCTGTGGAGGTTGGAGGTCCTCTGCTCGCTTGGCCAATCATACTCCCCAAGATCTTTTCACCACTCAAGAGTGCTGCATGCAGGGCCTGATGCCCAGGGCTAAGACAACTGCCTCTTTGTGGTATCATCACTTCCAGGAGTAAGACTGAGGGAAGGAATGATGGACCTTGATGTCCAGGGGTAAGAAAACAGCAGAATTGTCTTAGGTTAGTTTTCCTCACAAGCAGACCCTGAGTCACCTACTTGGGTCCAACTGAGTCATCAAAGGAAGCACTCTCAGGATCAATCAGTAAGAGAATTGGGGAAGCAAGAAAGAATGGGGATGGAACCAAACAAGAGTGTTTTCAACTGAACTCCCAGACTCAACCCAATCTCCTGCGGCTCTGAGGAGTGTAATTTACACTTCCAGGAACAACACTATTTGGGCTGCTAAACTTCCATACCCATTGGTCATTGCTTACAGGCAACTCTGGGGTGGGCATGGGGGGACAAAAATCTCCTAGGTATTTTTCAGCTCATAGGAAGTGCACACATGAAGTGCAGGGTGGTGGCTATGCCCAAGGGCAGTCCTCTGAAGGTTGTAAGTGCAGGCTCTAAGCTGCAAAGCACTCATATTGAAGTTGAGGAATGGGTGCCTTGAGCTGGCAAAAGAATCTGGGAGACCTGGGTGTTCACTATAGAGTCATCCCCAAACCGTCACGTACGCTTCTGTAAAGTGGCATGACAGTGAACCACCTCATACAGTTGCCTGGAGGAAAAAAGAAAACAAAAATAAGGAAGGTCTTTCTTTAAATATTTATCTGAAACAATATCCCAGAGAAATGCACCTTTGATTACTATTTTTTTCATGCAATAGCATGTAAGGGCATGCTAAACCTAGTATGTTTCTCTCTCCAGGATGACTCCTGAAAGTAGCAGGGCAATGTGTTATTTATTATTAATCAAAGAGGATTTCACTTAGTGAAGCAGGACCTTGATGCTCCTTCAGGCTAGAAATGCAAATATTTTAAATTCTAATTTGACTTTAAACCAATAAACCCATCCCACTGAAGATAAATGAAACATTTATTAAAAACCCAAATAGGAAAGAATCATAAATCTGTTCAATGGGGAGATACAAAGATTTCTGAAAAGAGAATGAAGAGGAAAAAATATATATATCGTTTGAAATCTGACCCTAGAGAGGAGCTCTAATGAGATGCAGATGGCCTATCTACCCTCCAGGTAGATGTCTAAAGGAGAGCAAGTCTTAGAATTCACTTCAAAAGCATCATGAGAGAGAGTGTGGCTTTGGAAGTACAGAAAATAAATGAGAGATAAGAGGAAATAATACTCAGTGGTTGTTGGATGTAGGATGCAATTTGAAGGCTTTATAGTGCAGGATTAAAAGATACGAATGTACAGACACTGTGGTTGGCACTCAGAAGTCTGATCAACACCTCAGAATGAGGTATGGAAGCCCATGGTGGGTAGACATTACCAGGAGCCCAGAAAATGGACTGGAATATTGCATTATGTTTGAATAGGCCCAACAATGGGCCTTTATATTTCTCTGTGGGGTTTTCTTTAAGATGTATTTGGGAAATTGGCATTTAAAGGCAGTTGGGTGCTTTGTGAACAAAGGCAAGTAAGGGAAAAGGAAACTGTGCTATTTCAGTTACTTCTCAGAACCAGCCCACTCAGGTAAGTGTTATCCTGTTTTATAGATGAGAAAAGCAAGGCCTTAGAGTTTATGTAATCTTTTCAGACCCTAGTTCCTTAAGTGGAAGAATGAACAGATTTCCCCTTTTATCCCTTCCACCCACCAACAAATAGTTACTGAACCCTTACTATGTGCTTGCTCTGGACACTGGGGAACCAAATGATTATCTGAACCCATATCTATCTGATCCTGAAGGCCATTCTTTTTCCATCAGAGTCTAGTGAATAAGTGTATTTAAATAATTTTATAGAAAATTATATTACTCTATGATTAATATAATACTGTAAGATATTAAAGAGATTTGTACAGGGTGGTGAGACTATGGGAACACATAAAGATAGGCTTGAAAGACTGAATAATGCTAGATGTAGACACTTGGTGGGGGAGACCCAAGCCACTTTTCTTAATATGTACTTAAAAACTCCAGAAACAACAAAAATAACAAACTTTTAGGGTCACATTTTCTAATTACAAAACTTTGGAAAAAATTATAAAGAAGTAAAATTTATTTTTAATATTATAAACGAGAGATAATAACTGTAATTATTTTAAAGTATGTTCTAGTTTCCCCTCCAGTCCTTGGCTGCTTCATATTTATCTGGTTTTGAACTTTTTAAATCTGTAGGTTGGTGTCTTTCATCAGTATGGGAAAATTTTTAGCTATTATTTATTTGCATATTATTTGTACTCCATTTTCATTCCCTTCTCTTTCTTGGACACTAATTATATTTATTATTTAACCTTCTCACTGTATCCCCTATGTCCCTTATTTTTTCTCCCAAATATTTTAAATCTTTTTGTCTCTTTTGCTTCATTCTTAGTTTTTTAAAGCCATCTTTTAGTTTATTAATACTCTTCAGTGGTGTCTGATTTGATATTAAACTTATCTACTGAGCTTTAAATTCCTGACATTATACTTTTCAATTTCATATTTTTTCTTCATTTATTTTTTTAAGGTTTCCAGTCTTTAGCTCAATCTTGTCTTTTATTTCTTTGAACATATTCAGCATAGTTATTTTTAAGTAGTATCAGATAACATTATCTGTATTCTTTATAAATGTGTTTCTATTGTCTGTATTTCTCTTGATTTTCAGTCTTGCCTTCTGTCTTAGTCATTTTGGGCTGCTACAAGAAAATACCATAAACTGGGTGACTTAAACAACAAACATTTATTTCTCACAGTTCTGGAGGCTGGGAAGTCCAAGATCAAGGTGCCAGAAGATTCGTTGTCTGGTGAGGGCTTGCTTCGACTTCTTACTGTATCCTCATGTGTCAGAAGGAGGGTGGGAGAGCTCTCTGGGTTCTTTTTTAATAAGGGCACTAATCTCATTCTTGAGGGCTCAACCCTCACGACCTAATCTACTCCAAAGGCCCAACATCTTAATACCATGATATTGGAGATTTGGATTTCAACATAGGAATGTTGAGGGGGACACACCCTCTCAGTACATTGTACCTTTTACTGAATCCTAACTCAGAAACATCACTTGGCTCTATCCTGATGACATTCCATAAGCAATAACTTAAAACCAAATATTGATTCTGATAGTTCTTCATCCTAAGATCTCATCAAGTTAAATTTGCACCATGGATTTAATTATAGCTGTTCTGGGTTTGTGAGGAAGAAAATACTACATGAAAAGTACATATCACATGTAATCTGATTTCAGAAATGCCAGATTATAAAAGAATACACATCTAAGCCTTATGGAAATATAGCTATATTCCTTGGGCAGAGTTGTTTGTATGTCCTGATTCAGTTTCTCTTTAAGTCTTCTTTCAAAGCTTGCTCCATAAAAGAAAGAAATGATCTAAATTGTTCTAAATCTCTGTTACTTTCAAGGGCTCAAAAACCCTGTAAATTTTCTGCTACTTAAATCCACATTAAATATAGTAGGGGCGCGAGCTATTAGAACCCTGCATTTGGAAAGTAATGGGGTGGGAGCCTACTGGACCATGAAAGCACTTCCTTCCAAGGGCAGAAAAACCCAACTATCAGGCTTACCTGTCAAAGCCAACAATAGAAAGTATTTCTTATCCTCTGCTGCAGCAGATGTGGTTAGAGTATAGTTCATTTTCCCTCAGTATTCCAAGACTGGTGTTAAATATCACTCAGTTTTTCTTGGCCATGAGCTCTGTCTACAATGGTCAAAATCGATGGGGAACTCCACTTAAATTATACAAATTGTAGCCCTTTAGTAGGCGAATTGGCTACAGATTCACACCCTGCTAGAACCAGAAGCCCTTGGAAGTTGTGACGAATCAACTGGAGTTGCAAAGACACTTTTCGTTGATTATCGCTATGTGGGAATACAGGCCCAGAGTTTCAAATTTGAATTATGTCAGAAATGAGTAATACAGATTTTTAAATGAAATCTCCCAATGTTTATGTCTGCAACAAGTTCCATTTTATAAAACTTTCAGGCCTAACATATTACATTTTTGATACGATTTTAGTCTGTGAGTCCCGGTGGATGCTTAGTGAGCTCAATTTTCAGAATAAATGAGTCTGTGCTATTAGAAACTAGGACCAGCAGTGAAGCAACATGGACTGCTTTATCTGCCTTTTCCTCCCACATCATGGAGGCATTTCTGAAAATATAAGCACTGGAGTTTTCTGAGTCCACTTGAAGCATCAAGAAACACATTACCCTTTTTATACCATCACAGTAGTTTTAAACAGCTTCCTTAGTGGGGTTCCTTTCTTATACTTATTAATAAAACAGGGCTTTGGATTCATCTGCCAGAAAAATTGCTGATATTACATAGTTCAAAAGCATACAGAGTATCATTGAGATCAACTTCCATTTAGTCTATGGACAGTCTTAGAGTAGACAAACCAGTAATTTGGCTAATTGTTGCAGCCTTGCCAGGCTGTACATAGGAAAGTTAGTTATTTTAAATTCACAAATATTTCAGAGGTGTTATCTGAATGGAGATTTTCTTTTTCCTGGAGGCAAGCAAGTAAGTTGCTTAGAAGGTAATTGGGACAGTTACAGGAAAGAAAGCCTATTATTTGCTTGATTGTGGGGGCCAAGATGGCCAATTAGAAGCAGCTCTGGTCTGTGGCTCTCACTGAGAAAAATGAAAACGGTGAGTGCCCCTTCAGATGAGGTATCCAGGTTCTCTCAGTGAAACTGACTAGGTGGTTGGCATGACCCATGGAGAGTGAGGAAAAGCAGTGTGGAGCAATGGCCCACCCAGGAGCCACATGGGGTAAGGCAAACTCCCACCCCAGACAAAGGAGGTGGGTGAGTGATTGTGCTACCCTGCCAGGGAAACTATACTTTTGCCATGGATCTGTGTAACCCATGGATCAGGAGAGCCCCTCATTAGCCCACATCGCCAGGTCCTTGGGTCTCAAGCACAGAGCTAGTGTCCAGTGGCAGCAGACTGGACACTGCCTAAGATGACCAAGTTCCCAGGGGGAGGGGAGGCAGCGATCACTGTGGTTTCAGTTGGCCATTTTTCCCTGCTGGTCTAGAAAGATTGGGCAGTTTGGACTGAAAAGACTTCTTCACAGTGCAGCACAGTGGTTGTGGCAGATTGTGGCCAGACTGCTTCTTTAGGTGGGATCTGGATCCATTCCTCCTCAGCTGGTGGGGCCTCCCTGCAGGAATTCCAGCAACTCCAGCCAGGGGTTTATGGGCAGAGCCCCAGTCTTCCTGGGGAAGAGGCCCTGCAGGGAGGCGGTCATGATTTCCTGTTCAACAGACTTAGTCTTTCCTGCTTGCTGGCTCCGAGGTGGCTAGCAGTACAGATGAGTGGGATTCCCCCCATTGCAGTGTGCCTGCTCTACCAAAAGGCAGCCAGAGTGTTTCATAAACAGGTCCCTAATCCTGTGCCTCCTGACTGGGTGGGACCTGCCAACAGGGGTTGCCAGACACCTCAGACAGGAGAGTTCTGGCTGGTATCAGGTTGGTGCCCCTATGGGACAGAGCTCCCAGAGGAAGAAGCAGGCAGCCATCTTTGCTGTTCTGCAGCCTCTACTGGTGATACCTCCAGGTGCGGGAGGGACCCAGGTGAATAGAGTCTGGAGTGGGCCTCCAGCAAACTGCAGCAGCCCTGCAGAAGAGGAGCCTAGCTGTTAAAAGAAAACAGAAAGCAACAACAACATCAACAAAAAAGACCCCATAAAAATCCCACCCAGAGGTCAGCAGCCTAAAGATTGAAGGTAGATAAAGCCATGAAGATGAGAAAAAAATCAATGCAAAAGTGCTAAAAATTTAAAAAGCCAGAGTGTCTCTTCTCTTCCAAATGATTGCAATACCTCTCCAGAAAGGGCACAGAACTGGACTGAGGCTAAGATGGATGAATTGACAGAAGTAGGCTTCAAAAGGTGGGTAATAATAAACATGCTGAGCTAAAGGAGTATGTTCTAACCCAATGCAAAGAAGCTAAGAATTATGATGAAACACTACAGGAGCTGTTAACCAGAATAACCATTTTAGAGAGGAACATAAATGACCTGATGGAGCTGAAAACCCAACACAAGAACTTCACAATGCAACCACAAGTATCAATAGCTGCAGAGACCCAGTGGAGGAGAGAATCTCAGAACATGAAAACTATCCTGCTGAAATACGACAGGCAGACAAGATTAGAGAAGAAAAAAGAAAATGAAAAGGAACAAACCAAACTCCAAGAACTATGGGATGATATAAAAAGACCAAACTTGCAACTGATTGGGGTACCTGAAAGAGACAGGGAGAATGGAACCCCACTAGGAAAACATACTTCAGGATGTCATCTAGGAGAACTTCCCCAACCTAGAAAACAGGCCAACATTCAAATTCAGGAAATCCAGAGAACCCTAGCAAGACTCTCCAAAAGAAGATCAACCCCGGGACACATAATCAGATTTGCCAAGGTTGAAATGAAGGAAAAAATGTTAAGGGAAGCCAGAGAGAAAGGCAAGGTTGCCTACAAAGGGAAGGCCATCAGAATAACAGTGGATCTCTCAGCAGAAATCTACAAGCCAAAAGAGACTGGGAGGCAATATTTAACATTCTTAAAGAAAATAATTTCCAACCCAGAATTTCGTATCTGGCCAAACTAAGCTTCATAAGCAAAAGAGAAATAAAACCCTTTTCAGACAAGCAAATGCTGGGGGACTTTGTCACCACCAGTCCTCCCTTGCAAGTGCACTGAATAAGGAAAGAAACACTGTTACCAGCCACTACAAAAACACACTGAAGTACATAGACCAATGACACTATGAAGCAACTACATTAACAAGTCTGCATCCCAGCACTTTGGGAGGCTGAGGTGGGTGGATCACGAGGTCAAGATATCGAGACCATCCTGGTCAACATGGTGAAACCCCATCTCTACTAAAGATATAAAAAATTAGCTGGGCATGGTGGCGCGTGCCTGTAATCCCAGCTACTCAGGAGGCTGAGGCAGGAGAATTGCCTGAACCCAGGAGGCGGAGGTTGTGGTGAGCCGAGATCACGCCATTGCACTCCAGCCTGGGTAACAAGAGCTAAACTCCATCTCAAAAAAACAAAACAAAACAAACAAAAAAAACAAGTCTGCAAAATAACTAGCCAGCAACATGATGACAGGATAAAATGTACACATAACAATATTAACCTTAAATGTAAGTAGAATAAATGCCCCAATTAAAAGACACAGAATGGCAAGCTAGATAAAGAGTCAAGACCAATTGGTGTGCTGTATTCAAGAGACCCATCTCACATGCAAAGACACACATAGGCCCAAAATAAAGGGATGGAGGAATATTTACCAAGCAAATACAAAGTAGAAAAAAGCAGGGCTGCAATCCTAGTTTCTGGCAAACAGATTTTAAACCATCAAAATCAAAACAGATAAAGGCATTTCATAATCATAACGGGTTCAATTAAACAAGAAGAGCTAACTATCCTAAACATGATAGTTAAACCCAATACAGGAGCACCCAGACTCATAAAACAAGTTCTCAGAGATCTAAAAAGAGACTTAGGCTCTCATACACAAATAGTTGGAGTCTTTAACACCCCATTGGCAATATTAGACAGATTATCAAGACAGAAAATTAACAAAGATATTCAGGACTTGAACTCTGCTCAGGATCAAGTGAACCTGATAGATATCTATAGAACTCTCCATCCAAAAACAAAAGATAACATTCTTGGCATGACATAGCATTTATTCTAAAACTGATCACATAATTGGAAGTAAAACACTTCTCAGCAATGCAAAAGATCTGAAATCATAACAAACAGTCTCTC